TTTATCTACACCTGGGAATTGCTGTTAGACAATTAAGGTTAGTAAAGCTCATTGAATTTCTCAGAGGAAAGGTGTTATTTGAATTATTACCAGATAATTATTGTTAAAAATAACAATAATGTAAAAAATAGGAACTTTACATGTTAGAGACATTATCATTTTAATTTCCATGTGGGGAGGAAAGCCCTGGGGGACCTAGAAATGATTTTTTTTCATAATGTGCTCAATGCCGGAAACTCCTTGAATTCTGTCTAATGCCTGATGACCTGACACACTGGCCCAGAATCGGAAGCCAGTCGAGCCTTGTGAGCTATGAGCCAAGTTATTCAGCTTGACCTGCTCCTTCAAACACAACCCTCAGTGGGAAGGCGAGAGTCAGACATAAGACCTGTGGTACTCAGACCAGTGTCAGTAGCATCACCTGGGAGCTCGTAGAAATGCAGGATCACAGACTCCATCCCAGACCATTAGAGTTTGAGAAGGCAACTGTAAGGTAGATGAGAGGCCTAATAAATTTAGAGGTCTAATAAATGTTCTCATCGTCAGATAAGAAGGAGCTAGGAAGAAGCCTTACATATTTACAGTTTCTGAAAGAGTCCTTTTGCCTGAGGTCTGTGCTCTCAGTTCTTTCAGTGACTCTGAGTCATCATGGAAACAGCATAAGCATCTTTCTTGCGATGAGATCATGGTGGTAACTAGAAACGTGTCCATGCTGCATTGGAACAGTTGCTATATAGTGAAAAAAGGAAAGATTTAAAGTCAGAAAGACCTGGGTTTGAATTCTGCCCTCACTATCCACAGCTTTCTAATCTTGGAGTGGTTACTTGAGCTCTCTGAGCCTCACTTTTTCTCATCAAAATGAGTATGGTAACACTTACAGGATGACGTTGTGAGGGTTAAATGAGAATGTATTTACATAAAAGTACCTGCTGCAGTCCCTGACAAAATTTAGAGGTCTAATAAATGGCAGCTATTATTGTTACTATTATCTTTTTTTAAGATTTTTTTTCATTGATTTTTAAAGAGGAAGGGAGAGGGAAATACTGATCGCTGTCTCCTGCATGCCCCCTACAGGGAATCGAGCCCGAAATCTGGGCACGGGCCCTGACCAGAAATCAAACCTACAACCCTTCGGTGCACAGGACAATACCCAACCAACTGAGCCACACTGGCCAGGGCACTATTATCATTTTTGTAAGCTCTAGTCATGAAGGCCCATCTGTCATTTTAGAATGACTTGGTGTAGCTTCTGAAGAATGGGAAGGGTCACACTGAAATAAGACCTCTGCAGGAAGTTCCTCACAGTGATATGTGGCAGTGTGTTACATAACAGCTCTGCTCTCCAAGGGCAGCCAAGACAGAGCTGCGGAGATGTCAGCGACAAACAGGCTGGAATGGAAATGACCCCCAGTCCCTGCCTCTGACACCAGCAAGAGCCTTGCCAGCTGGGTTCCAAGAGCAGATTCTTTATTTACAGTGATGATGTAAGAGGCAGGGAGCACAGCTGTATTTCCTGAGTCTGGGAAGACTGTGTGGCCCCAGCAGCGTCTCAGAATTATCTTTTGACTTAAAAACTGACTACATTGGATATGGAAGTCATTGAAAAAGAATAAATGTGAAACTTCATGAAGTCGTTTTCATGGAATCTTTCTTAAGAGGAAAACCACCCTTTAAGCAATAAAACATAACACGCCAGTTCTGATTAATAGACCCTCAGGTGTGTGCTCGGCCAGAGGGGAAAGAAGAAGGGGATAGGTGTCAATTTGCCAAAAAAATGAAAGGAAGATCATAACAGCAGGATGTGGGGCTCGGAAAGAGGAGCTGGATTAGAGGACAGAGATTATGCCTCCATTTAATTATAAAATGCACAATTCAAATCAAATGCTAGGCATATTTAAAATGTACACTCATCTAATTACACAGTGGATGTGTAGGCCGCCAGGCAGTGTTTCACTGCAGCGAACTAGACATATCGATCTGTGCTTTCCTTTATCGTTGTAATGTAGCTGCCCGGGGGAGAAGGGGCGCCGCTGCTCTGTCTGGTGAAGTGTTGATAACCTGTCCAGCGTGTGATGGTCTAGTCAGAACCATGAAGAGCTCTTGAGCCTCGTTTACTGTTTATGTGGCTTCTGGGGTGTTGAGAGTTAATGGACATTTCAGGGCATAGCGTGGCTCCACCATACTGGCTGAAAAGAGTATAATTAATGGTACCAAGTTTTTCTTCTGGTGAGTACCAGTGAGTCGAGGGCTCACCTGGGAGTCAGGGGAAGTCTTGTGCTACTGAAGGCTGCCGTTGAAAGGCTGAGTTTTTGTGGCCAAAGAAAAGCTGCTGAGATCTCCTGGAAAAGTCTGTTTTCCTAACCTGGGTAAACACTCTTATCCCCCACGGCATATTTGGTTCAGATTCTCATCTTTGGGTGAGAGAAAATGATTCTGTTTGAGGATAGAGGTGAGATTAAACAATGTTTCTTCTACCACAAGAAGAGAACAAGGGAAGGAAATTAGATAGACTTGGGAGCAGTCATCCATATATTTCTACAAGTAAATTAGTGATCTGGTGGGAGAAAAGTAAGTAAAAATTTAAGGTTATAAATACCGGGCAAAGCGAGGTTGAAAAGTGTTGAGGGGGCTTAATAGCAAAACTGCTGGTAGCCTGTGTTTCTATAAGGTCATGAATTACTGCGGCATGCTCCCACCAAGAACTGTGGCTGAACCCGCTGCTTTTGCAAAGCGTGAGAAATTCCTTCATTCTGGTTTTCACCCTGAGTTTATCACTACCCAGTGGTATTTACAATATTGTCATAACTGTTTCTGCTGGTAATGTTAGAAAGGTTTGCTCCCTTGTTCTTTAAATCCACCTCATTTTTAAAACATCATTTAACTATAAAAAGACATTTATGTGTTCCATTTATTGAAGTGAATTAAGTGAAACAAAATTCCTTGTTTTTTGGAACCTAGTATATTCTTGCAGGCGATGTATTCCCAGCCCCTCGCTCTCTCTTGTCTAGTCAATGCTGATGGTCTGCTGGGCCCTATTGGTGCTGAGCAAGCACTGAGAGATAGAGATTTGTGAGCTTTTATATCAATTATCATTGCTCAGCCAGTCACAAGGATGTGGCGTTGAGCAAGTCAGTGCCTTTAATCTCATCTGAAAAACGAGGGGTTGGAGTAGATGAGCTTTATGGTCTTTCCAGTTCAGTCTCAGTTTCCCTTGACTCTAAGCAAGAATCTTTTTTTTCCTTTTAAATATGGTTCAGCAGACATCAGCTGAGCGCAAACCTGTGTGCAGGGCATTGCATACTACAGGGTATACAAAGTCAAAATTGTCTCTGCCTTCAAGGCACCTATGGGGGGAGATAAACTACACAAATAATTATCAGAGTCCATAGAAGATGCAAAGCACTTAGTGCAAAAGTGCTTCAGGATTCAAGAAGGGCACCTTCCTTTGGGAAATGCTGCATAAATGAAGCAGCATTTGGATGGCCCTTGAAGAAGCTATATGTAGACATTGGGAAAGGGAGGCAGCACCATGCACGTGGTGGGGAAGGGTGGGACTTTGCAGAGATGGAGAATGGACTGCAGAGATAAGGGTAGGAAATTAGGTTGGGGCTATGTTACAGGCGCTTTGGATGCCAAACTGAGAAGTAAGCAAAAGAGCCAAGAAGTGCTATGTTGAGAATAGTACTTTAGAAAAATGAATGCAGTATTGATTATGAAGGATGGGCCAATGGTAAAGAGAATCTAGAGGAAGTGAAGGCAGTTAGGGGCTCTCACAGAAATCCTCGTAACAGGCGGTAAACGGATAAATCAGTGTTGTGATAGAAAGCAAGTATTGATTCAGGAAGCATAGCCTGAGTAAAAACCACAGAACTTGGCAGCTGATTAGATTTGGGGGGCAAAAGAAAAGGAGGCGTTAAAGATGACTCCTCAGCTGTAAGCCCAGGTAACTGGGTGCAGATGGTACCAATGGCAGGGAACGGGAAGGCTGCAGAAGGAACATGTTTTGAGGGAGAGGCAGTAAGTTCTGTTTAAAAGTTTCTGAATTCAAGATGCCTGTGCACTATATGATGGTGTATTCATCTTTTCCAAGTGCCTGTGTAAACACTGAGTGAATGAATGAATGAATGAATGGGCCCATTACCAGCAGTTATTTAGAGGGTTGGTCTGGAGCTCTGTAGACAAGCAGACACCAAAGGTAACAATGTGGGTGTTCTCTATGGAGAAGTGATTGTTGAGGTCGTGGAGGGTGGGTAGAGGCAAAGCCTAAGAAGAGAATCTTGAGGAATATCTAAATTTAGGAACAGGAGAAAGAAGACCAGCCAGTAAGGGAGGCAGAAGGGAGAACTGAAGGTAGGAGGGAAGTCAGAATAATGCAGGGTCCCCATGAGAAGGGATGAGAGTTTCAGGAATCACTTAAGCCCAATGTGGCCAAAGATGGAAGGCCTGGGAAAAGGCCTCTGAGCACGAGGCTCTGAGACAGGTGGTAGTCAGTGCTGTAGCCCCTAAGGCTGAACCCCACAGGTTAGAGGATATGGAGGAAATGGAGGCTTTGTTGTGCAGGGTGTAGAGAAGGTAAGAGCTCAGTAACGTGGCCAGGTCAGTGGGCATCTTGAAAGTAAGTAAGAGCTGAGCACTAAAGAGGGAGAAACTGCAGTGGAATCAGAACACTGGAGGAAGAGTCAGCTATGGCAAAGTTGAGGACACTGTCCCTTCTTCCCCCACCTTACCCTCCACCTCAGCTTCCAACTCAGAACCACAAATCAGTTCCATCTGCACTGCAGGGTGCTACTGATGCTCTGGGACCAGACAGGCCGTCAGGTAGAAACACTGAAAACCGAGGCTGGACAACGTCCTCTCCAGACCCCTTCCCTGACTTGTCGGCCTCTGGTGCAGACTTGCACACCCAGCCTCTCAGCCAAGTCCCACTGTTCTGAGTCTATCAGAACAAATAATCTCAGTCACCTCTTTATTTAATAGCCTGATTTTTGTTTGTTTTCTAGATGCAGCCGCTCTCTGTATCCTGCCCCAATGAACATCTGCACTAGGCCCAAGCCTTGGAGTGATTTACCTGAAGAGTGACACCATTTATTTGGAAACTACTGTGAGTATATTATGCTTCCAAAGAAAGTCCTCTTAGTTCACTTTGTTTAATTAAAAAAAAAAACACACACAACCGCACAATTGTAAAAGCAGAAGAAATTTTAGATGGCTTCATCTGTTGGATGCAGCGAGGTAATCAGACGCAGCCCTGAGGTGCCCGCAGAGGTTCTCAGTTTCCAGCCGCTGCGCACTCTGCCCTCCAGGTGGCTGCGCGGGGCTGGCCGGAGCGCACCGTGCGTGCCCAGGCGCTGTTCCTCTTGCTCACCTGCGCCTCTGCCTGAAGCAGGGGCAGCTCCTGCCCAGCTCGCTCGCCTCTCATCACCCCACTGTGCCACTCTGCTGAACCTCACCGGAGCTTGTCATTTCATGCCGCCCCGGTCAAATCCGGGAGCCTGCTTCCCTCTCCCATTTCTGCCTGTTGTCTGAGCTGCATCTCTGTGCCTGTGCTGTTGCCTCCTTGCTGCTCTAGGGGACCAACACCAGCCCTGTGGGGCTCTGGGCTCCTTCAGCCACAGCTCTCAGCCACTGTATCCAGCTCAGCTCTGCCTCTGAACGCCTAGCTCTGTGTGTCTGGTTTAGTTCCCTCCCTAACAGGCATTTTTGCAGAAGTACACCTTTGCAAGTCAAGGTGCAGAAATAAGTTGGGGTAGGAGCTGGGATGCCTATAGGAAGACACTGGTGAAAGATTGAGATCACGTATTCATTAATCATTGCTAAAAGTGGCAAATGAATATTTAGGGTTTTTTGGTGTGTGTGTTTTTTACTAGAAAAGCCAGGAATTTAAGTTATTTAGAGGCTATGCATGCAAAATAACTTAATTACACATTTTAAAACAAAAGCTCATTCTTTGTGTCGTATTCATAAGTTTTCCTATTTGATAAGAGGTAGGTAATGGGATAGTATTTTCCAGACATCTCTGTTACTAGAAAATGTTAAACCTGGGAGGCTAACACCCATCTTAGGCTTCAGGTAGGACCTTCACATTTATATTTTCTATGTCTTTAACTATTCTGGCAAAAGTCAAACCCAAAGGGATAAAGCCAGAGTTTTTGTTTTGTTTCGTGTTGCTTTTTATCTTAAGTGCTTTGCCACCTGAATTGTAATGGATGGTAGTGGATGTGTAGGTGACAGGCAGGCCGACCTGCCGGAATGGAGACAGGAACTGTCACAGGCTCTACAGTACAGTGGGGTCAGGTGACTGGGGACTGAAGACATGACATGAGATCAAGCAGAATTTCTTCATTTCATACCTGTGCAAGGAACGTACTTGTGTGAACACCTTCATTCATCCTTAAGTTCAAAGGCCTTAGAGTTCCCACATCTGGGTGATTTTCGAATATTTCTTCATCACAGACTAACTGTACTGGTGCAGATGGCACAGCTGTACTAGGGTGCAGACAGGTTTCAAGGTTTCTGTATCCTTTGGGAGAGGAAAGAGTCCACCACACCCACCTTCCTGTGCTGCTGAGAACCCAGACCCAGAAATATGGACCTGAGTTTTCCTGAAAATCACTGGCAGCCCCCAAGTGAGCATCTGGTTCTGCCACTGGAAGTATTTCACTTGAGCTGAAAGCCAGTGCCTGCTTTCACATTTCACAGGGCCTAGAGAATGGACAGATTGGGTCTAATCCTCACAGCCTCTGCTTTTCAGAAACTAAGCTCCCTCATATATGAAAGAGAAGTAATAATAAAACTTAAAATACTTGCTAGGTACAAAAAGCAATAAGGTGATTGAAGCATAAAAATATGGACTGATTATAAAACTTTGTCCCTTTCTGTGGGTTGACAATGCCCTTGGCCAGGTCTCAAGGCTTAGAGGTCTATAGGAAGGGGGCGAGTGTTAGATTTAAAATCTACCCACTCCCACACCACCTGGACAACCGTGCCCAGTGGCCCTGCCCACTTACCTGGACTGTTGTGAAAATTAAATGAGAGAATGTACATGTGGTGTCTGGCATAGCAGAGGTGTGTTTACTCGGTCAACTAAAATTTACTGGACATCTACTATGTGCCAGGCACTCTTCTAGCCACTAGAGTTATGGCAGCAAACAAACAAAAACAGCTGCTCTCATGGAGCTTACATTTGGTTTTCTTCTCCATAAATGACAAGTAGACAAAATAGGTATGTGGATGCTAAAAGAGAACTGATTTCATTTTATTTTGCTGTGTCTTTCCTTCCAAAAAGTAAACTTGAGAGGAAAAGGGTGAAGAAAGAATAGACATTCCTATTAGTCTCCTACCACCCCCAACAGACACACACAAAACCCCAGGAACATTCTCTGCCCTGATTTGTGGCCCAGGAGGCTGACCTATCTGGACTCCGTTGCCCAGCTGTCTTCTCCTCTGGCTTCCCTTTGACTCTGGCCTAAAGGAGACGACAGCAAGAGATGTGAGAGTGGGAGGAGAGTGAGGTCACAGCATCTATTATTCCAGCCCCCTTCCCAACTCCAGTTCAGACTTGACTTAGAAAACACCATGCCTTCCCTTGCTCCTTTGGTTTAACAGTTCAAAGCTGAGACTTAACAGCTTTCCACTGCTGCTAGTCCCTGATGCTGCACCATCCCCTGAGGGCCCCTTAACCTCACCTAAACCTCAGTATACAGTCCTTTCATTAGACACTCTTCAGCTAAGACCTTTGAGTGTGCCATCTGTTTCTTGCCAGGACCCTGACTGATACAGTGGGGGAGATACACACTGAAAAACATTATAACTCAGCCTTGCCAAGAATGTAAAAAAAATTGGGAGAGTAAAAATGTTTTAATCACAAAAACATCTTAAATTGATCTGAGAACATTAGACCAAGTAGTGAAAGAATAAATTGTAAGAACTCATGATAAGAGAGAGCTCCTGAGGTTGGATTTCATGAATAGACAGTCGTGCTCAGGTTTGATGGGCTTCTGCAGGCCAAGTGTAGCTTATTTGACCCTCATGGTCAAGAGGAGCTCTTGGTGTAGCAGCAGCAGTGACAAACTTGAACAGAAAGAAGGTGTCAGGAGGGTAATACAGTCAGATCAAAGTGCTCAAGACGAGATTGCTTGTCCCAGCATTCTTTCCATCTTTGTTCCAATTACAGTCTGTTTGCCTCTGCCCAAATCCAGATATTAAAAAAGATTACTAAGATAAAGGAAGTGCCCAATTATAGCTGAACTGACAGAAACCACAGAAATTATGCTCTCTGTGAAAGGAGCTACCATCATCGGGCACTGACCATGTGCCAGGACTATGCCAGTCACTTGAATGAATTATCTCATTTAATTCTCACATCAGCCCTTGAAGGCAGGTATTACTATTTCTACTTTACAGATGAGGAAACTGAGGCCCAGAGAAGCAGAGTGGTCTGTCTAGAGCACACAGCTACTAGATGGTGGAACTCACTCCTGCCACCAGCCCTCGTTGGGGTGGTTTATTAACCACCTGCCCTTTGCTCCCATTCCCAATGTACTGTTGGGAAGGAGAGTAAAGAAATGGTTACCAGTTCAAAAAGATTGGGGGTGAGGGGATCATTGGCCTAAATTATCATGATCTAATGACTGAGTAATTATTCATCAGAAGGAGGTTCTCACTAATTCTTTCCTCTCCAAGCAGACTGATGAGTGGAAGGCATGCTAATGTGCCGGAGAGTGGGGGAGCCAGCGAGGAGAGAAAATTGGGAGAGGGAGATAGAAGAGAGCACTCTCCTCTCCACACACCCTGGAGACTGATAAGAGCTCACACAGATAAAATATTTATTTTCCATATGTTGCAGAAAGCACGACCATCACTGTATGTGTGCAGTATGTGCAAAGACGTGCGAAATGTATCATCAAATGCCACCGATCTGGTTAATTTCCCATGCATGATACCTACATCTCATCAGTGTGTTTTAATGCATATTTCTTTCCACATACAATATGGTCTAGGAAGGAAAGAGCCAACATCACCCACAGCCTCTCTCACTGCTATGTTTCAGCCCAAGACTTGTTGCCAGGGCCAGCACAATGAGAGTTAAAAACCAGAAGGTCCCGCTGGCTGACCCAGCTGCCAGTCACCTTAAAACGCCTTCCCAGCTCTTGAAGCAGTCTCTTTCTCGTAACAGAAATGTCTGCAGTGGGGAGATGAAAATGGTTTTGTTCTCGTTGGACAATTGGGAGACACTCGGTCAGAATGTCAGAACTAACCGTTGAAAGGCAGGTGCCTGTGGCCACACTTTTTTTTTTTCATTTTGAATGCAGAGCTCCCGCCAGTGTGGCAGGAGGAAGTGCACAATGATTGGTCTGTTTCTCGGTGGAAGTGCTCAGGGTACACCCAGTTTTGCTTTGCATATATTTACGAAACATCTGCCCTTTTCTTGTTCTTAAATCCTTCCCCCTCACCAGCCCCCTTTCCCCTTTCTCCCAGTTTCTTCCTTTGTTGTTGTTGGCTTGTCTAACTTTCATTGGAGCTTTCATTTTCCGGTTGAGGGGCGACTTCATCAGAGTGTATAATTTTGACACTGAGAGGGAAGGAGGGAGGGAAGGG